ACCAGAAACGTTTTTGGCTCTTTATCTCTGCATTAAGTGGCAGATATGACTGTTGGTTTCCCTCAACTTGTGGAAGTCCTATAAATAGGACATAGAGCTGCAGAGAAATATATATAACATTTTCTTGCATTCAGAACTCTCTCAAAGCCTCACGCATCATATCATAGTGCTCGGTTCTCGACTTCATTCTTGTTCGACTGGACTCTGAAGGCTGGTGTGCTACAGCTTCCGAGTGTTAAAGCCGTTGTATCTTTGGGGGCATTACGCACTAACCCGTCAGCACTACACGGGGCGTATTTGTCTTGCGGATAGATTTCAATCGCCTCGGCTCAAATCTCTCCGCGTTCGAGTTGTAATTTCAATTTTTTGTTTTAGTTCTTTTGTACGAACTGAACACTTCAGTCAGTTCATAGGTTCCCGTTGTAATACAAAACACACATTGTGTAACAGATAATAATAATGCCCTAACAGTGTTGCTTTGAATTGGGTTTCTGATGTCGACTGACGCCTTTCTCTGGTTTAAAAAGATTTGATTTTTAACAACCCTTTGGAGGTGGAGGGAGTTGGGGAGTAAGCTACTCTTCATTTAGAGGTACAGTGAGATTTTCTTTGTGGTGCAATTTGTTGTCTACTCTCAAAATCGTGAAAATTCGTCCATAGAACCTTCCCTACAAACTTATTTGTTTAAATGACCCTTAACATCAAACTCATTTTCTTCTTCTTCTTTCTCCCTCAATTTTTTTTCCCGCTGTTTATCTCTCTCTCGACCGCTTTCCTATAATCTCTCTCTCGACGCTCTCTCTGTTCTCTCTCTCGATCTCTCTTGCAGCAAACCTGCTCTCTCGACATTCCTTCTCGCGCCGGTTACTATGGAACTATCTCTTGCTGTCAATTCTGTATGAATTTTTATTTAGGGTACAATGTTTTTTTTTTCTAGTTTTTGTATTCTTTTTGTGTTAAGGTTATAATTGTTGAGCCATTTGTGTTATTAATTACATTTTTTTGAATGTTTAATATGTGTTATGTATGGTGAAAGTGAGGTTAATGGTTGAAATGTTTGTAGGATTTGGTTAGTGAGTTGGTGCCCTCTATGTGTTTGATGAAATGCTCATAAGATGGTAAATTGATGCACCCTATGTGTTTGATGAAATGGTTGTAGGATTGAGTTGATGAATTGAAAATAATGAGACTTATATGTTTGTAATGTAATATATAACGAATGTACATTCGTTATAGAAATTTTGGAAATGACTATATTCTCATTTTATAGTAACATTTAACGAGATTTGCTGAGATTAATACCCTTTTAAAGATTAATATCGACTTAGGATTTACATTGTGATGAATTATATGTTAGTAATATAATATATAATATATATAATGAATTTACATTGTGATGAATTCTTTAAACTGTTAAGATATCTTGAAGACATGTTATGTTGTTTTTTAGTTTCCAAAAGTTGAAATGTCTGTAAGGTGAACTCTATGTGTTTTATGAAATGGTTGTAGTATTATATTGTGAATGTATAAGTGTATTTAATTAACCGAGATGAAGATATAACTATAATGATGATTCATTTGTTTTGGTGTATGAAATAACAAATGTACATTTTTATGTATTAAATTAATATCAACTACTTATATGAATGTACTTGTTAATTTCAAAATATAACGTGTGTTGTACATCTTAATTTCTTGATAATGTGCATGTGATTGTTGTAATTTATGATTGATGTTGTACTTCTTAATATTGTGATTGAATTTTCTACCGTTTTATGACATGTTGTCTTTCTTCTATGCTTTTAGGAACCGAAAGGGAGTATGCTTTCGATATACCCCCTACATGCTCCGGGGTCGTGACCAATAGGTGCGACCTCAAGGTTGTCGAGCATGTATTTAAGAATCTAAATAATGAACATCAAGATTTATTTGTGGAACTTTGTTTTCGGCAACTAGTGCACATTCCGGAGTTGAAATTGTCGTCTCAAATAATCTACCACCTTGTTCAGAGGACCTTGAAATCACCCGACAATGAAAAAGATGCCGTGTGGTTCAAATTTGGAGAAAGGAAGCCAGATTCCGGTTACAAGAATTCTCTCTTGTAAGCGGTTTAAAGATTGTGGATGATGTGGTCCCCAAAAGAAGTAGTTCACTTTTAGATTTATTCAAAGAGAAAAAGGGAAGATAATGAAGAAAGACTTGCTCGAGCAATTTGATGGTTTGGTACAGAAGGAAGATGTAGATTTGAAGTACAAATTGAGGCTTCTCATTGTCCTCGAGTATGCGGTGTTGTCTAACGAGTGCCGGACTCTTGTGGATGAAAGATGGTTTCATCTCGTTGAAGATTTGGAACAATTTAATAGCTATCCTTGGGGGAACTTGTCGTACGAGTACACCGTAAAGTTGTTCAAACGGAAGACTTTCTGTATTAAAAAAAAAAAATACAAATGCAATAAAGTATTCTCTGCATGGATTTTCCCTCGCTATCATGATATTTTTCTTAATTTGTTCTTATTTATATATATGGTCTTTTTTATTTATTTATGTTAGTTGTATTCTTAATGATGTTTTGTTGTTTGCTAAGTAGGTTTGGGCATTTGAGGCACTGCCTGAGCTTGGAAGAAAATTTGCTCAAACTTATGGTAGTGGCAGACTTCCGAGAATGATGTCTTGGAAAAACATACTAATTTGCTCGCTTCGCCACTGTTTACTCATTTTCCAAGACATCATTCTCGGAAGTCTGTCACTACCATAAGTTTGAGCAAATTTTCTTTCAAGCTCAAGCAGTGTCTCAAATGCCCAAACCTACTTAGCAAACAACAAAACAACATTAAGAATACAACTAACATAAATAAATAAAAAAGAGCATATATATAAATAAGAACAGATTAAGAAAAATACCATGATAGCGAGGGAAATCCATGCAGAGAATACTTTATCGCATTTGTATATTTTTAATACCGAAAGTCTTCCGTTTGAACAACTTTACGGTGTACTCGTACGACAAGTTCCCCCAAGGATAGCTATTAAATTGTTCCAAATCTTCAACGAGATGAAATCATCTTTTATCCACAAGAGTCCGTCACTCGTTAGACAACACCGCATACTCGAGGACAATGAGAAGCCCCAATTTGTACTTCAAATCTGCATCTTCCTTCTGTACCAAACCATCAAATTGCTCGAGCAAGTCTTTCTTTATTATCCTCCCTTTCTTCTCTTTGAATAAATCTAAAAGTGAACTACTTCTTTTGGGGACCTCGTAAGACACATCATCCACAATCTTTAAACCGCTTACAAGAGAGAATTCTTGTAACCCGAATCTGGCTTCCTTTTTTCCAAGTTTGAACCACACGACATCTTTTTCATTGTCGGGTGATTTCAAGGTCCTCTGAACAAGGTGGTGGATTATTTGAGACGACAATTTCAACTCCGGAATGTGCACTAGTTGCCGGAAGCAAGATTACACAAATAAATGTTGATGTTCATCATCTAGATCCTTAAATACATGCTCGACAACCTTGAGGTCGCACCTATTGGTCTCGATTGGATCTTGGGAGCTTACGCAGTGGCGCGTACCTTCGCTCGGCGTGTCCCGAGTTCGAGTCACCAGGGGGGAATTGGGGAACCAGTATTGATCCCTTTTTTAAAAAGAAAAAAAAAAAGGAAATGTTAAGAGAGACTGGAAGAAAAATGCCATCTAATTTCTCTTTGCCATTTTAAGTTTGTAATTCCGATATTTAATTTGGAGGATTTAGCTGATCTTATTTTAGAAAAACTCTGCTGAGTAATTGGATCGAGACATGACGAAGCTGTCTCTATTCTCTAACACTTCATAATAAAAGTTGTGATTCAAATGTTCCACAGAAGGGAGTTATTATCAAAATCGAGCAAAGTTATAGTCGGCCAAGTGATGGTGAAGCCAATGTTTTATTAAGGACATTGGAAAGTGAAAAAAAAAAAATTGATCTTTAGTGATATTGTTGCTCAGGAGGAACTCGAAGAATCCAAGTATGAACCGAGTGGTGCTACCATTCTCTCTGCATTGAGGAGTATACAGTTGTGGAGGCCAATTTTGATAAACATGTTTTTCCTGTGGGGAAAAATGTCGAGGACCTGAATGTTGAAGAATCGGAAGGTGAATCTACGAGCAGGCTTCTTATACTGAAATAACATTTATACTGAAATTTGCATTATCTTCATTTGATGAATGTGTTCAGGTTGCCGATTATTGCCGGGCCCGCCTGCATCAGGTTCTAGCTGAGGAGATTGGTACTGCAAGAGAAAGTTGCCATTCTGAGTCTGATTATCACAATTATGAGGAGAAATGGACAAACATCTTTTCTTAACTCTTTCCACAAAATGGACTGTGAAGTCGGAGGATGTCATGGTGGGGACATTGATTGTGCCGACAATAAGTTTCCGCCAGTTGCGCCCAACTCTGTGGCGTCCACAGCTGTGGTTGCTTTGATCTGCTCGACTCACATCATTGTCGCCAACTGCGGTGATTCGAGGGCTGTTCTGTGTCGGGCAAAAGTGCCGATGCCCTTGTCTGTGGACCACAGAGTAAGAATCGAGTTCCGTTGGGAAAAAAACAAAATTTGTATTGTGTGTGGTTTATTGTGTAGCTTTTTTTGTTCATGCATCATTAGATCTCAATAAATCCCCCTTTTTGAGTAATTCTTTATCTTCCCAGCCGAATAGCAAAGCCGAATGTGCGAGAATAGAGGCCGCGGGAGGCAAAGTCGTCTACTGGAATGGGTACCGAGTCTCGGGTTTCCTGGCCGTTTCGAGGTCCATTGGTAGGTCGATTCTCGTAAAACAATTTTACAAGAGTAAACTGAGTTACTCTTAATACTATATGCGCCCGCTAATCTTGCCATACTTGAAGCTCGTCATTCTAACGATAATTTTTTCTTTTGGCACTTATTTATTTCCTGAGCAGGAGATGGATACTTGAAGTGGATACTTGAAGCCATACGTTGTTGCAGACCCGGAAGTTATGTTTGTTCATCGTGCAAAAGAAGATGACTGTTTAATTCTGGCCAGTGATGGGCTGTGGGATGTGATAACGAATGAGGAGGCTTGTGACTTGGCCCGAAAGAGGATTCTGCTATGGCACAAGAATAATGCAGGCCAGGATTGTTCAAGAGAAAGAAGGCCCGCGATTGACCCGGCAGCTCAGGATGCTGCTGATTATCTCTCGCGGCTCGCGATCCGTAAAGGGAGCAGAGATAATATCCCAGTCATAGTTAACGACCTCAGAGCTCGGAGGAAGCTGAAAAGGAAGGGTTTAGAAAGAAAGTTGTAATGAAAACCTCTTCTTCTTACTGCTCATTTTCGCTTTCTACGTGTAGTGCACTAATCGAACTCAGGCTTAAGGTCGTATATGTGTCATTGGCTCGGCCTTTTGCAGATGTTGATTGTGCTCGATTTCGTTTTAATGCTAAATCATCAGATGGTAATCATCAAAAAGGGGAAACTGAAAGCTGTTCTTCATGCATATTTATGTAGTAAATTGCACCATAAGCCCGAGTAATTTTCCAATACCTTACACAAAAAACATTTCATGAAAGCTGAGATAGTGTACAGTGAGTGTTACTACAAGCACCCTATATAACAACAATATGATTAAAAGCAAAATTCTCCAGTAAACAGATTCTTCGTAAAATCGGCTAGAAAAATCCTCGTACATGTTCATTAAACAATGTTTACGCTGCGGCGCACGAAGGTCCTCCAATGGTGAAGTAAAGAGCGAGATCAATGTCAAGATAGTCGTACTTAGCTATGAAAGGATGCGCCTGAAAAAACGTCCATGTAAATTAACATATTTATCGATTATCACTTGCACAAATAGGCTAAGTATTAAAAATGCTAAAGCATTAGAGAAGTACCATTAGCTCATTTGCAGAAAGTCTATCTTTAGGATCTTTCTGCACACTGATATCAAAGATCAAAAGATCAGTTTAGTAGCCACAACAATGACACTAATAAAAAAAAGAAAAAAAAAAAGAAACGAACGTATTGTGTGATTTGTTGTACTCACTTACCAGGCAGATATAAACGAACAAAACTCGGGAGAAAATACATCAGGAGGTGCAAAAGGCGCCGGTTGATCGACAATAGTATCAATAATCTCATAGAAAGCTTTCCATCCTTGTGGATTTGGTGGTGAGTAAGGGAAATGACCCATCGCGCACTCTAGCAAAACCAAACCGAGGCTCCACATATCACTTCTATAACCATAGTTGCTCCCACTTATTCTCTCTGGCTAAGGAATTTTTTTCAGAAATAGAAATAGCAAGAATTTAGAGGGGCGAAAATTAATAAACGAACTTTGGGGTTAAAATATTCGTTACACTTACAGCCATGTAAATATATGTGCCGACGAACGTATCGGCTAGACCTGACGTGCTAGCCAGAATAGTACTAACACCAAAATCGGTAATCTTCACTTCACCTGTGTGGTTTATTAGCAGATTCGATGGCTTCAGGTCTCGGTGAATAATGTGCTTCTCATGATGAAGATACCACAGGCCTTTGAGTACCTGTCCACAACTCCAAATTAATGAAGATACTACACAGTTAAGCCCTTACATGTGAATATGATCATAGAATCGAGCTCCATCGAAAGTTAGTTCGGTTTTCATGATCATTTACTTTGTGTGTAAAAGAAAATCGCACCTGTTTACAAATTGCGGCCAGGTAAGGTTCCGGAATAATGTGAACCTTCTTGAGAAAATCGGCAAGAGAACCAGCATTCATGTATTCCAAGATCAAGGAAACCGCGCCATTATTGTAAAAAGATTGGTAACATACAACGATGTACGGGCATTGTGACGATTGGTTGATTTTTATCTCTCGTGCAATGTGCCTTCGGGCAGCCTCTTCTACATTCATTTGAATTATCTAACAAAACGCATCACACAAGAACATCGACAAATGAAATCAACATAATACGGATGTAAACGGATCGAAATGGACGAGTTCTGATGACAAACGTAGTACATAAACTTCAATTACAGACACCTTGAGAGCGAAAAATTGTCCGGTCCATTTGTGTCGAACCAGGTGCACAACACCACCACTTCCCTTACCAATAACCTTAATTGCTTCAAAGTCATCTAAGCTCAATAGGTTCTCTGACTCTGATGGTTGAGCTATGGCTGCCTGATTACAGACAACAAGCAAACAAAATTGAAAAAAAATATAAAAAAATTAATAATAAATAACAACAATCTTATGAAATTTGCTAGTTCCATAATAAATACGACATACATACAGCTTCAGCTTGGGATTGTGAGACAAGTCGAACTCCATTTTTGTCGACCAACAAATCGCCATCCTTAAACGCCCCAAACTCTGTCCTGTGCACCAAACAAGAATAATATTCCAAATCAGTAAATGAAAAAAAAAAGGCAAAGAAATTGAAAAGCAACAAAACATTACCATTAAAATTAGGGGAAATGCTACTGTCCCGTTAGGGAACCATTCCGTCGGGGTTTGTAACCGGCTACAAACTCTGACGGAATGGTTCGGTGACGAGACCGTAGCATCTTCCTAAAATTAGAGATACTTACAGAAATTTGGAAGGACAAACTTGATCAGGAGGAGGGAGAGAGAGCTTGAGATTAGGTGGCAGAGGCCTTCTCTTCATTCTTTGTTATTTTTATGTTAATTTTTTTAAATAAAAATAAAAATTATTTTGCTGTTATTGTTCTATAAGCAGACTATAATAAGAAGACAGTGATGAAAATAAGTCTGGGCTCTGTTTTCCTCTGTTTTTTTTTTTTATCTTCCTCACCATCATATTCATGACAAAGTTCTAATGGGGAGTCTTGGGAAAGTCTACCAAAGTCAACGCACAAAGGTAACCAAAAGTCAAATCTTTAATAGATTTTTTTTTGTTTCCACTCATACAATATGATCGTTCGTGTGGACTACCTAACTTGAAAGAAGGCCGGACACGGAATTATTTGGAAACATTGTGAAAGGGCCTACTCGATGGATGGAATTGGATATTACCATTTTTTGTTTTTTGAGAAATAAATAGTTGCATTAAGAATTAAGAAACAAGACTCTTCACTATTTTACAATTGAAGGATTACTTTTTTTTTTATTTATTTATTAATCTTTTTTTATTTATTAATTAAGTACACTAAATTCACCATTTTTTGTAAATCCAAGCACGAGTGATATTTTTAGGTCTGGGATGAGCAAAACCGAGCCTAAAATCTGAGCCAAACAATGCAATTTGGTGCAGTTCGATTTGATTTTATTAATGTGACAAAATTTCGCCTAGGTTACGATTTGGTTTTTTCATACATTCCCTTGCAGTTATAGTTTTTTTTTTTTTTTATAATTTCGGCTTTCGGTTTTGTTGGGTTCGGTGCGGTTTTGCACCGAAACGCACCAAATTGAATAAAATGTATAGAAAAATCGCGATATAACCAAAACATGAGTCAAACCGTGTATTTCGTGTGTGGTTAAGTTCAATGTAAAAAACATTTGATTCAGTTTTTTCCAATTATAGTGCGTTCGGTTATTTTTTATATGTTCCTCCTCACGTTTTTCAGCTCTCAAATCTCACATGAGTCTTCTTTTTATTATAATTTCTCTTCATTTTCCTACAAGGAAAGGAAGACAATTTAATTCATAGAATAAAATATAGTGAGAGACAATAATGCTAAAGAACCAACTGTTGGTTCCGTTACGGAGTCAACAACCAATGGGACAGCTCCACGTGGGACTGTCCCACATGGTTCCAATGTGGGACAGCCCCACATGGAGCTGTCCCATTGATTGTTGGCTCCGTAACTAGAGATGTTAAACGGGCTAGCCCTAGCGGTTACGGGCTAGCCCTAGCGGGCTTCGGGCTAAACGGTCAGGGCCTAAAAAGCCCGGATTTAAACGGGCTACCAATAAAAGGACCTAACCCTAACCCTAGCGGGCTTCGGGCTAAACGGGCTTTAATAATAGTATTAATAATAATGTATCAAAAAATATCAAAAATAAAAAGAAAAAAATTATAAAAAATTACAACGACTAATTAACGATTGTTTTCAACTGTATTTATTATTTGATGCTCTATATATACAACTACACATCATATATGAACACATAATACAAACTCTTAAATAATATTTTTTTTTTCAAAAGAAAAAAATATTCAAATTATTACTTACAATTACCATTTCACTACTTATATTTTGTACGCTTTGAAAATTTTTACGATATTATATCACTATAAATTATATCACTATGTTTCATGTGTTAGGTCTTTGTCTCATTTGTTTCATATTAGTCGTTCTGATTGAGTTAAATATTTTGGTGTGGAGTACAATAAGAATATTGTTAATAATTATCTTTCAAAATCAATATAATCCGTTACAGCTCATACTTATATGTGAAGTGGAATAACAAAATTTTAATATACAATTAATCTAAGAGTATATTACTTACTTGCTGCAAATATTTACAACGCCCAACTCAAGTTAAACGGGCCAGCCCTAGCGGGTTTCGGGCTAGCCCTAACGGGCTTCGGTTTAAACGGTCCGGGCCTAAAAAGCCATGATTTAAACGGGCTACCAATAAAAAGCCCTAACCCTGTTTTTTTCCGGGCAAAAACGGGCCGGCCCGTCGGGCCAAGGACCGTTTAACATCTCTATCCGTAACGGAGCCAACAATTGGCTCCTTAACATTATTGTAGTAAGAGAATATCAAAACTTAAGAAATAGAATATATATATATATATATATGAAATTCTCTAGTAAATATAATATCTTTTCTTTTCCTATAAGTTAAAGGAAGATAATTATTTCACATACATACTAAGAGAATAACCAAGATATGAAAAATTAAGATGAAAACATCTTCTATTTTCCTTCAAGCATTAATTATATGTTACATTTTTCAAGAAACACAAATATGATAAATAAATATTATTTCGATTAATGCAAGATTCAATTTTCTTACAATCTCCATTAATATTAAAAGAAAAGGAAGTTGAAGTTATAACGGTAACGGATTGAAGATCAACGGTTTATGATGGGTTTTAATTGACTCAACTCCTCTCTTAATTGACCTTTTGCCACCCGTCGTCGTCCGCCCCTTGATCAGGCACCCAATCAGTAGCATGCAAATCCCTATTGAAAGCGTACAATTGGGTGGAAACATGGGGGCCCGAGGCTGAAGGAAATTGTGTGTCGACTGAATCGGTCTCTTGCCGCTGACAATCAGGACGACGGAGGATCTTGCAGCATAGGGCTCTTGGG